CAAATAATTATTCAAAAGCTTCTACTACTATTAATAATATGAATTATCAGTTACAACAACAACCCTCCAGTAACATTTCAATTAGTAATTTGCCTCAATCTAATATGATTGGTAGTAATAATAATGTTACTACTACTACTAGTACAACTAAATCTGTATCATTCAATCCTTCATCCACTAATTTATCATCCTCAACAGCCTCTTCTAATATGACTAAGAGTCATTCTACTTCAGAATTATCTGCTCAAAATATTAATACTAAAACTAAAACCCTTCTTAATAATCCTAATACTAGTATTATTGGTAATAATCCAACAATAAGTAATAATACTGTTAGTAACACAACTGCTAATAATGCCACCTCTACTGCTACTACTTCAGCTAGCAATAATAATAATTCATTAGTATCATCTACTAGTACTAATACTAATACTACCACTACTACCACTACTACTAGCAACAATAATACAACACGAGTTAAAGTAGTTGTTAGAGTTAGACCACAAGTATCAGAAGATATAAGTAATAGTCAAATATTTGGAGAATATCCACCATGTGTAGCAACAGTTAAAAATACAGTTATATTAAAAAGAGAATGTTATGATGATAGAGAATTTACATTTGATAAAGTGTTAGAACCAACATGTTCTCAAGATGAAATGTATAAACAAGTTGGTAAAAACATTGTTAATGATGTATTAAAAGGATATAATGGAACTGTATTGGCATATGGTCAAACAGGATCAGGTAAAACATTTACTATATTTGGAAGTTCAACAGATCCAAAAAGGATTATTAAACCTAATGAAAATATAATTGATAAATATAGTGGAGTTATTCCTAGATGTATAAATCAAATATTTGAACATGTACAAGAATATTCAAATAATACAGAATTTAGAGTTTTTGTTTCATTTATGCAAATATATATGGAAAATATAATGGATTTACTTGATGCAAGTAAAACAAATTTACCAATTAGAGAAGATCCAAAAAATGGAGTATTTGTAGAACAATTAACACAAGTACAAGTTAATGAACCTTATGAAGTAATGCAATTAATTAAGGAAGGATCTAAAAATAGACAAGTAAATTCTACAAATATGAATAAGTTATCTTCACGTTCACATGTAATATTAATGATTACAGTTGAACAAAAATCATCAAGTGATAAAAGTGTTAAAAGAGGAGTGTTACATATTGTTGATTTGGCAGGAAGTGAAAGAGTTTTTAAATCTGGAAGTGAAGGTCAACGATTGGAAGAAGCTAAAAAAATTAATAAGAGTTTAAGTGCTTTGGGTAATTGTGTTGCTGCCCTGACAGAGGAAAATGTTTATCATGTACCATTTCGTGATTCCAAATTAACACGTTTATTAACAGATTCATTAGGTGGTAATGCTAAAACATGTCTTGTTGCAACTATTGGACCATCTATGTGGAATTATGATGAATCTTATTCTACTTTACATTTTGCTAATAGAGCAATGAATGTTAAAAATCATGCAATTATTAATGAAGTTGTTGATTTTAAAATATTAAGTGGTAATTTACAAAAGAAAATTAATGTTATTGAAAATGAAAAGGTAAAATTAATGGAAAGAAATGTAGATTTAGAGAGACAAGTTAATTTATTGAGAAGTGAAATTTCCTCTCTCTCAAAAAATTCATCATCAAGAAAATTCATGGAAAGAGGAAGTTGGGAAGATAGAGAACGTGAATTAATTGATAAATTTGGTAATGTTATTAGACATTTACAAATGGAAATTGCAAAACAAAATATAATGTTTAATAAGGCAAAAAATAGACAAGAACAAAATAATCAATCAGATGAATCTTTAGAAAGAGTTATTGATGGTTTTTTATCTGTACCAAATGTTAAACAACGTATCATTGCTAAATTAGTTGAACAAGGTGAAGTTAAAGAAATAAGTCCTTGGTCTGAAGAGAAATCACCTCAAAGAGCAGATGATGTTGTCAATTCAATTCTTAGAGAAAATTCAATTGATTTTAATGATAATTCAAATAGTATGGATTCAAATAGTTTAGATTCAAATAGCGCCGATTCAAATGATTCATTGAGATATGATCATCAACAAGAACAGCAAGAACAATTCGAACAATATGGAGAACAAGATGAACAATATAGTGGTGACATGAATGAACAGCAAGAAGAAGAAGAACAATTTGGTGGAAGAGGTAGAAGAAGAAGAAGTTTGAGTAGTCATGGGAATGAGAGTCAGAATGATGATAATTCATCCTACTATGATTAAACATAATATTGTCTCCACAGGAACTGAATAAGAAGAAAATAAATTATTAGTGTTCAGGATATTAATATTGAAAGAGATGTTGAGCTCACAAATCAAGAACAAGGTTTCTTATAAAAATAATACTTAGTAATGGTAGAGGCATGAGCAAGCATTGTGTTTTACAAGCATCCTATTACAAACAAATTTCATTCAAGTTAATTCCAACAACTCAAATTCTACAGTTGAAATTTTCACAAGGATTCTCTCAGTGTGATAGAAAGGAAACACATTCTAATTCAACTTGAAGAAAGGAATGTTTACCTTGTTAAGAGCGTTATTAAACGTCGAGCTAATGGTGAATTGTAAACGCACAATGACGCACAAATTGAATTGTCGAAGTTGCGACTTGAAGCCGTCTGCAGAAGCAGCAGTTGAAATTTGCTGTCTTGATGTGTGGTGCTGGCATATGGAGTTTTGTACAGTTCAATTAAAAAAAAGACATCATCTAATAATATCTACTAGGTTGTC